CAGGTGTGGTCTTCATTCTTGGCCCTTCTTGGTTTGTATTATCTGCTGATTTGCTGAGCAGTGGTGGGGAGGGGGATGTGGGATCTGGGTCTATGATAAAGACACAATAGATACTTCTCTTTTATCATTTTTAGAATATTAAACATGCTTTTTTTTATAGTTGTTTTGGATTGGATTTTGCTATTAGCTCCAGTTTTGGAGGGTTGTTAAACGTCCCATATATTGCTGCTGCTAACGCTCCCTCATGCTAGTTTGTATTCACATGAGATGAGTAATTTTTTATAGTGAGCTCATCTTCAGCGGGGGCTTTGTTTCCTGCGGGAGTCCCATGGGCCCTGGATTGTGGAATGTCTACAGAGAAGGCCTGCCCTGCTTCCTGCTGGAGTTTCTGATTGGGTTACTATCCTGGACAAGTTTTTTTTGTTTTTAATAGAGGCATGTTATTTATTTATTTGTTTGTTTGTTTTGTTTATACATGCACTGGGTACAGTCAGAAGCGCGGGGGGGTGAGAGAATTCACCAGAGCCAGAGTGGGGAGCAGAGCAGGCAGAAGGACCGAAGTACACTGCTGAGGGGAGCAGTGGGCAGCAGGAGAGGTCCGTGAGCCATGTGGGACCCTCCTCCGGTGGCCGGGGAGCAGCCGGGGATCGAACCGGCGCCACAGAGGCCACGGGCAGCTTCACAACCCAGCGCTCAACCGCTGCGCCACCGGGGAGGCCCTATCCTGGACAAGTTTTTATGTAAGTTCTTGCCTGGGGATGTCTGCCACACACTCCTGGTGTGAATGTGGACTCTCACCTCCATGTCTCCTGATGACATTTTCCCCCCTCACTTGCTTCCCTAGGCCACTGGCAGGAATTTGCATGTTTCCCTTTCCTGGATAAGTCTTAAAGAGGATATTCCTGCTTCTGTTGGATCCACAGTCATGTCTCCTGTCTGACACTCCAACTTCCCTAATTCGGGTCCCCCTTGTGTGACACCAGCAGTCGCTCGCATGTTGCACCGACTTGAATCTCCCTGCATTTTTGGCACCAGAGAATTGGTTTGGCCCTGTATTAATAATTCTCATTGTTTTATTTTTTCCAGCTGTGCTTAGGTGGGTCTGCCTGCCTTGTTTCCGGACACCATCCTGTTCCTCCACAGCCCTCTGGGACTAAATCAGGGTGGTGGGAACTGCATGTGCACAGACTTCCCCAGTGCTGGGCAGTACTGCCCACTAGAGACCAGTGAGACCCACCTGCTGCAGCAGCTGTGGGGCGGTGGTGCCCCCCTCAGCTTCCCGAGTGAGCATGGAGAGCCTGGCACCAGCCCTGGCGTCCTCCAGCACCATGCAGCGCCATCTGGACTCTAGGATGGCGAGCCTGCTCTCACTTCCAGGGTGGACGTTCACTAGGCCAAAGGGCTCTCTAAATGCTCAGAAGCCTCCCCAAATGACCTTGGGAATGCTGAAACTAGCACTCATCTCTCCTCCCAGGATCAGCCTCACTGCCAAGGTCCCCTCGTGCTCCTCTGTGGTCACAGACCTGGGCAGGCACAGAAGGCAGGGTGGAGGGGAGCAGTTCACGGCAAAGAGAAGCTCTTTCCTGTCTGTGACGGGAGACTTGAGGGAATGAAGGCACCAGCCCACAGTTGGGGGAGGGTCCTCACCGAAGAGGCCTGGCCCAGAGGTCCCCGGACTCTTGATGGAGGCTGCCTGGGGGTGTTTCGGAAGCGTAAGGAGGCACTAGAAGGTACCAGCCACAGCCAGACAACCTGAGAAGCCTGGGGCCAGAGAACCCCCCAACCCACTCTCATCTAGCTGGTCCCTTTTTCCTTATCACTTAGGAGCGACTCGGCTCCGTTCCAGACCAGCAGCCTAGAGCAGTGGGCTGGAGAGAAGAGATGCCGCTGAGCTAGAGCAGCCCAGCGGCGGAAGGGAAAGTGGGTGATAAATTTAAATAACCAGCTTGACTTGGCAGCTTGCTGAGTTGTGATGCAGTGAAATTAAAATCTCGGCAGAACTTGCAAACACTACCCAGAAAAATCAGTCTCTCTCCTTGGTTCCATGATGGAAGGTGGGGAGGGGAGGCTGCTCGACCGAGCCCCTGCCTGGGCGGCCACCCTTGCTTGCAATGTGATTAGCTGTGTCCTGGCCCACTGGGTCCCTCTCCCCCTCCACACAATAGTCCAAGCTCCGCTCTTCTCTCAGTCCTGACCTTGTGGAACAGCTGCATCAAGTGGCTGCTGAAGTTTGAAATCAGCCTCCAGTGCCAGGAGGTGGCAGGAATATCAATAAGGTTGACTCTTCAGGTTGGGCCAGGGCGTTCCTGGGCTGGTTTCCCCAGGACTCCTTCCTGAAGGCTTGCAGCCTCAGCTGCTATCCCTGGGGAAGAGGTGCTGGGTGCCTGAGCTGCAGGGGGTGAAGAGGCTCTCAGAACACCCTGGCACACCCAAGTCATCCTATGGGCACAGGACCACTGCGCTGTTCTCTCACCTCTGACATCCACCTCGCCAGGCTGCCCTACGTGTGCCATCTCTCTTTTTCTTCCTTCACCAAAGACCTTCATATTTCCCCTCCCACACACAAAATAAGCTTTGTAAGAACCTTCGAAGGAAATTTCTACAAATACGCCAAAAGCCTCTCCTCAATCCCAGCCATGCTAGAAGTCCAGTTCTCAGAGATGCCAACATCTTTCTAGAAGAACTCACCCAAAGTCCACCTCTCTTGGGTCTGCTCTCCTTGCACCATGACTCCCTGCTACCCACGAAGGCCCGAATGACGCGTGGACCCACTGCCAAGATGGCCCGTGAAGCCTCTGGACACTGCCCCGTTTCTCACCTTGACAGTACCTCCAGCAAATTCTGTTTGTCCCCATAATAAACACATCATGAATCATTCATCTTTAATAGATTATGCAAATTAGGAGGACATAAAATCAACAAAGATCAATAACTGCAGCCGTTTAATTGCCAGCAAAAAACATTTTAAGAATGAGCATAATCTGCAGCCCTTTCTCGGGTAATGGCACCATTAATCCAAACATTGGATCTTGGCCTAAGTGTAGAAAAATCGTTCCCTGCCCCCACCCTGATCCCCTCCCCTCCCCCACCTCTCCACACACTTCTCTCTTTTTGGTAATTTCCAGTTTCTGAGCGAGTTTCCCCGTCATTACCACTGGTGAACAGCTCCGAATGTTAATGGTTCTGCTTTTGTTACTCCTCGCTTGATTGAAATGTCGCATACAGATTGAGATGTTAGTGCTAACTTGCCACCTGGGAATGTCAAGCTGGGTCTGAAATGAACTTTTCTCACACTTGGATCCAGATGGATCAGCCGGAGATGTTCCCGGGCTGAGCTGGGACTGTTCCAGGGCCATGGGGGGGGGGGGGGCAGGCGGGGGATGCTCAAGGTGGAGTCACTTTTCTGCACCAACCCGAGTTCTCCTGCAGCAGGAACCCTATCCTGAAGATCCATCTCTCCACCCCAGAAAGCCCCTCCCTGCCTTCTGGACAGTGGACCCAGGCGCAGGGAAGCACAGCTAGGTTTAGAGCAGTCTCCTGGGTGCCCTTTTGCCAGCTGCCCGGGTAAGCCACTTTGGGAAGCGACCACTGTAACTTTCAGCAGACCAGGAGAAAGCAGGCTGGCGTGGGCCATCTCTTCCACCTTGGGACAGAAGAACCGACAGGTCCGAGAGCTTCCAAGTTGAGTGGAGGAGGGCTCCTGCCGATGGCCAGTTGAGAATTGTCTGTATCCTGACTGGTTAACCCAGCTGAGGTGGTCACTCCCCAAAGCCCCATCCAGTTCTCTACGCTTCCGGAACTGAGCCGCTGATTGCCTAGCCGAAGAGCTCTAGTTTATACCAAGACACCCCCTTAAGGAGAGCCTGGGAAGCTAACTGACAACAGGGCGTGCCCAAGCCCCCAGGTGGAGGCTGGGTGGCCACTTTCAGACCATCTCAGACCTGAGCCGTGCTCAGATCAGCTCCAAGTCAGAACCAGCTCCCTGTGCCACAGCGCGGCCATGCCTGCTCCCCGCCTTTGCCACGAAATGCGACTCTCGCTGCTTACAACCCTCTGCCAGGTCCCCAGGCCGCCTCCGCTCCCCTTGCTCGGCAGGTAACGCCTCAGTGTCTCCCAATCCCCACTGAGACCCTTCTCAATCATTCTGTCTCCCAAGGAACAAACGGCACATTGGCTTTAGTGTCTCCAGAATAATTAGGTGAATTTTAATAACACCTCAATGTGTGTCTCTCCCACTTGGGCACTTCCCTGGCCCCGAAACCCTGCTGCAGTGCCAGGTGCCTTCCACAGCCTGCAGCTCCGCAGCCTGGAGCCCGGCCCTTCACTGTGTCACACCTCAGCCGTCTTCCACTTGTGCTGCCTCTGCTGCTCCCAACCCATGGGAACACCCAGGTGGGGCGCTCCGCCCCTGCGTGTGACTGCAGGACAGGCCTGACCCCACCTGGCTTTGAAAGGAAGCCTTGGTCCCAGGGATTTCCTCAGGAAGCAGAAGAAGGACTGGAATAATTGGGTTGATCTGCAGCCACACAGCTGGATACCATGTTCTGAAACCCACAACCAGAGGGAGAGGAAAGCAAGTCCTCTAAAAGCCTTGGGGACACAGGAGTGTGGCGGCTGGACACTGCACACTCCCTTCCATCCTCACCAGCCTGCTCTAATTGCCCTTCTCATTCCTCTGCACACGTCACAGCAAGAGGCTTGTAATTCTAGCACCTTAGTGAAGGCAAGAAAAATGGTAGAAGAGAAAGAGGCCAGAGGCTGGGCAGAAAGAACCAGCCACAGTCCTCCTGGCTCTGCTCTTTCCAGGCTGAAGCCCACAGAAACCCTGACCATGAATTTTTCTCCCCACATCTGCACACCTGTTCAGGAAGCACCCTGGGTTCGGAGGCTCATTCTCTGCAGATATCATGGCAGGGGGCCCACTTGTCACCTGGGCCCCAGATGAGGCTGTAGCACCTCCAATGAAAGCAGCGCCCCCACCCTCCTGGAAGCCCCCTTACCAGTCACCACGGGGTAGGTCTGCGTGCCTGACACGTTGCTGCCCAGTTCGGGGTTAGTGGATGCAGATAGACTCGACTTGACTTCATCAAGCCCAGGGGTCAGGGCTGGGAGGGAGTACTCATTCCCCTGGGAGGAGAGAGAAAGCGACAGCTCTCTATTGATGAGCACATGTGGGGAGAGGGCTCAGTGTGCAGATGGGGAGGAGGAACAGGAGGAAGAGGGGAGCCCTCCCAGATGGGGTGGAAGGAGGTGGCCAGGCAGAGGGCGGGGTAGGGGGAGGGGTGGGCACAGCGGGTGATGGAGGGTTCTGTGTGGGTGGGGTAGACCTGACTCTGTGAAGCTGGGGGTCTGGCCTATACATTATGGAAGGTATCCCCGCACCCTCTAAATGTCTGCGGCATCTCCTGTGCAAGAAGCCCCAAGAGCAGGGCACAGCAGTGAGGATCTCCCTGGCCAGAGGCAAGGGCTATTTTAAGGTCCCCTGGGGTGAGGAGCCCTGGGGAGGAGGGATGAGCCATGACTTGCAGGCAGGGGCCCTGGCTGGGGGAAGGGCCTGGTGGGGCCTTCAACCTGGCACTGCTGGGTCTGCTGATCGGGTGCTGGCGCCCCTTTTTTTAAAAACAAACAAAGCCAGCCCCACGGGCCCCTCGCTCTCTGCCTGTGCACTGGGGTATGAAATTGGGGAGGGGGAGAGTCCACATGGCTAACAGAAGGGTGGGAGGGGGCCAGTCATTGACTCTGAAAGGGTGTCCTGCCCGAAACACTCGGGTAATTGCCTTTTTATTGCAACCACGCCAAGCCAGACCCCAGAGCCGGGCAGGCCAGGAGCCTGCACAAAGCAGGAAAAGTTGCTCTGATTAATATTACGTTAAATTAAAACTGATTTTCTGCTCTTTCGGGTCCGTTTTTTTCCCTTCCGCTTCCTGGCCCCCCCAGAGGGCCCCCTCCCCTCCCTGGCTGGACGGGATTGCCTCGTCATTTCCAATTCCTTCTCGTATTGATCTTCCTGTAGAAATCAGTTTTGTAATTAGCTGCAAATTAGGCCTTCTACTGGGGGTGAAGCTGCCCCCTGATTTATCACCAGAGTAATTCGCTGTGATCGGAGAGAAATTAAAATGAACTCAATTAGGCTTCGGATTTGCTTTATGGGCCCTGCTCCGAGTTTCAGGGGGAAAAATGACTGTGCTGGTGTTTAATAGTCTAATGAAAGTAAATAAAGGTTATTCATTGTAATACAGCCGGGGACTCAGGGAGGGTGCACTGAGCCGCCCGCCTCGGCCGGCTCCTCCTTTGTTGGTTTATGGCTCAGGGCACCTTAAAAAGACTTTTGATTTTTGTTTTATGAAGACAAACAGCTTATGGGATAAAAGGACGGGCGGGGAGAAAGGCGAGTGGCTGGGAGCTGGTGGAATCCTAGAGCGGAGCTGTGTGTGTGAGCCTGTGGGGCTGCAATGGTGTGCGTGTGCATGCGTGCAAGCACAGCTGGCCGTGCTGTGGGCCTGCACGAGGCTGTGGCTGTGGGAGGAGGGGGCGTGTGAGAGGTACACTGGGGCTGGACTGATGGTGGGTGGAGGTGGTGCTGGGCTGGTGGTCTGGGAAAATGAACACCTACTGGCCAGTGGTTACCGTGCAACAGGGTGTGTGTGTGTGTGTGTGTGTGTGTGTGTGTGTGTAGGGGGTCGGGGGGATGGTCTGTAAACATGTACACACAGGTAGCTGTAAGGCATCAGGAGATGTGTTTCTGCACATCTCCTGAGTGGTGGTGCAGCTGTGTTTGGGTGGTTCCGCACCTATAGGACACCTAACAGGTCTAAAGGTAGGTCGGCAACCTGCCTGGGATCACACTGGACGGCTGAGGCAGCTATCCTGACACCAGGCAGGAAGAGCACACAGGCTTGCACAGATTTTCTGTAGGAGCCTGGGAACATGCAGGCCAGGGCGCTGCTGAGTGCTCTGGGTCAGGAGCAGGCTGAGAGGACCTGCTAGGCCACACAGCCACATCCTTCATTGTACAGATGGGGAAACAGAAACTCCAATAAGGGATAAGATTTACCTACTGCCATACTTTCTAATGACCATGTACCACAATGCTTTTTCTTCTCTATCGCAATGTCCTTGTGTGTGCTGTTCACACAGCATGTACACGGCGCGGCCGAGTGAAGCACGCATGTTGAGCACATGGCTGATCCATGACACATTTCCCAGAGGCCTCCCTCTGCCCAGTTCCTTCCCCCTTCCATCAGCAGAAAGTTCCTTCCTCACCTGTTCCGATTTGATGTGCTCTGATGCTTGGAAGACGTCAGGGTAGGAAGGACGCTCAAAGACCCGGTCCAAAGCTTCCAGCTGCTGCTGGGTGAAGGTGTCAGCTCGCAAGTGCTTCCGCAAACTGTCCACACCACTCTGCGAGTCTCCATTGGGGACTGAACCCTCGGACACATCTGGAGGACACACGGACACTGGGGCATCAGCACAGGCTGGCAGAGGCACGAGTGTGCACTGGGCAGAGGGGGTGGGCCCCTGCTTGGCCCCTAGAACTTTGCCCCCCTGCTGGAACCCCCGTCCCCCAGTCTCTTGGCTAGAGAGGCTGACCCAGGCACTGGCCATGACTCAGAGATCTGGCTGAGGAAGCTGGAGCCTCCAAAGGACTTGGGAAGAGAAACGGAGTTTGCCATAGCATGGGGGGTGGGAACTGAAACAGGGTGAGGCAGAGGTGAAGCCAGAGGGGCTTTGGGGCCACCTCCCCAGGCCTATCTTCCCTGGGCCCCTCTGTCCCTGCCTGGGTCAGTCTGGGGGCGGGGGAGCAGGGCGTCTTGGACCAGCATCCGGAGCCTGTGGAGAATTGAACTCAGCTCTGAGATGAATTTCAGTTCCACTGACTCCAGAGGTGGAAAATCATCAAATCTCCGAGGCCGAGTATTACACGGAGACTGGGTGAAGTAATTAACTTCACCACCAAGGGAGGAGGGACTCTGAAAGCTGAGCTGAGACATTCAGCCTGCGATGGGCCGGGACCGAGACTCAAAGCAGGCCGGCAGGCAGCGCAGCAGCAGCAAAACACCGACTCAGGCAGCGACTGAGGACAGGATCCCCTGTGCCTGGCCATCCTTCTCTGTCCCTGCTCTGGACACAGGCCAGGGCCCATCGGAGGCCAGCTACTTGGCCCCCTAGTTCTTGGGTCTCCACAGGGAGCTGAGACTCACTCTGTGAGGGAAAAGCCACAGTGGTGCCAGACTAGCGCTCGCTCCCAGGGGCTGCGGGCCAATCCTGCCCACCTCCTGCTCCACCCAGGCTTCTCACTACTCTGCCATCCCTGCGTTCCTGTCCCTGCCTCCTGCACCAGGTCCTTGCCGGTTTTCAGAGCAGACAGTGGCAAAGCGCCTTCTCTGCCACCTCTCCCCTCACCTACAGTGAGGTCCCCCCCAGCCACAGAGATGTTATTCTTCGGCTTCCCTCGGCCCAAGACCAGCTGGGGAGCACTGGGCCTGGGGCCGGCTCGTGCTATAGGCCCCAGGGTGTTCCTCTGGGACTGTTATATATATCAGTTTATAGGTGATTATATGATATGATATAATCAATACTGCATTATATACAGTAACACCATACAGTATCATTCAGGAGACCATAGAAAATATTACATATTGATTAACCTCAACCTGCCGCCATCCTTTCTTGCTGGCCTCCGAGATGGAGCATGGGGGTCTGCCTTCCAAAGGGGTCGCCTGTCTTCCCTCCACTCTATTCCAAAGGAGATGGGAAAGCAAAGAAAGTGGTCTCTGTGTGTGTGCGTACGAGAGAGAGAATGAGAGAGAGATAGGAGAGAAAGCCCAGGATCTAGTCTGAGGTAGACAGAGACACAGAGTAGCCCTGATGCTATTTCTACGTTCCCTGTGTTCTTACTGACATGAAACTTCGTTGTTTTTTTTCTGTATAAGCCTCTGGAATGACCTCCTGCCTTAGAGGGTATATGCATCTCTATATGGATTAGGGTGTGGCACATTAATTTTTCCCTTTTGCGTGAGTATTCTCTGTGTGTATATATGTGTGCATGTTCAGATCCAGATAAAAAAGTGTGTAAATGACAGAGCAAGCGCCTTTCTGGAAAGGTGCGTGACCACGTGCAGCTACATGGGGAGCATGGACCACATCCCCCACATGTTTTTTCTGGGCCTGCTTCTCTCTCCAGGATGTGGCATCACCCTAATTCTACCCTTTGTGGCTATGTGCATATCCCATCGTGTATAATTCTCTCTTGCCGGGGTTCCCCTACCTTTTGTGGAAGCCCTGCCATCAGGGCCATCAGAGGCTGCAAGTGTCTTTGTGTGCAGTCCCTGCAGTGTCACCAGTGGGTCCTGGGAGTGGAGTGTACATTTATCTGTGAGCCTGTGCTCACACGTGGGTGTGTGCACCTGTGTGGTGAGACTCCTGACTGCTCCTGTGGATTTGTGTGGATTTGTGTATATGCCTGTGTGTGGCTTGACTTGGCGTGTGTGTGTGCGTATGCTTGTGTGTGTGTGTAGGGGCTGAACTGAAGCTTTGTCCTCAGGTCACTGGCTGGAGGAGTCTCTTTTCCTTCATTTATTCAGGGGCCCTTCAGATCTTGACAAATCTGTCACTCTAAATTTGCGAGAGATTATGGTGCTCTCTCCCCAGCCCGCAGAGAGGTGATATATGATATCTGCTGCCCCTATTGATTGCCTGATCTGGTGGCAGAGGCCGGCGAAATGAACTTGAAATGAACATCATGCCTCAACTCATTGTGCGTATAATACACTACTTAATCCCACATTTTTCAGCCGCTATGGAATTCAATTGATCAATCATGTTCCACTGATAGTACTGTTTTAGGGGTTATTGCTGCTCCCTCCACTCACTGACCTTTTTATTTATTTATTTTTTTGTATACGCAGGCCCTGGTGATAAGACAGGTTACCGAGGCAGCACTGAGGCAGCACTGGAGAGAAAGGGGCGGGCAGGGCAGGGAAGGGGAAGGGAGCCTGCTACTGGGAGAGGTGGCAGCGGGAGGAGGGAAAGCAGGGGAGAAGGAAGGGGGTAGGGGGAGAGAGATAAGGCTCTTGAGGAGCAGAAAAGCAATGTGGAGAGTACTTGAGAATCCCCAAGAAAGGCTGGAGGAGGCTGGAGGAATCTCCCCAAAAGAGAAGGAAGGTGATGAAGAGGGAGGAAAGCAGCAGGGATGATGAATGGCAAAGGGGCACAAAGAAGTTATGGGGGACCACAAAGGCAGGAGAGTGCAGGGGTATTACTGGGGGCACAGGAGGCAGCCTCCCAAATCAGCCAAGAGGCCTACAGGCTCCCGCAGACTCTTCAGCAGGGTGGCACCTTCCTGCAGCTGGAGAAGGGAGGGGGAAATTCAGGCAAGGAGTGAGGTCCAGGAGCGAGGAACGGAGGTGGAAGAGCCCCTCCTGGAGTGGAAGGCCCAAGGAGGAGGGACCCAGGAAAGGCAGAGGCCCAGAGGCACAGGACAGGCAGAAAGAGGAAGAGAAGAAAGCGGAGCAGCCTCCCGCGTCAGGTGGCTCAGAAGCACTGACTGGGCAGAGGGCACTGGCACTGGAGGAGCAACTGTGGCCCTGCTTCCCCGGAAACAAAAGCGGCCCTGCTGTCCCACTGAGGAGGCAGCCAAGGGCCTGGATGGGAATGGGGTGGGGGGTGAAGGTGAAGACAGAGAGGTAAAGCAGAAAAGAGAAAGAGGAAGAAGAAAACAGGAAGGAAAGGGACAATGAAGTGGTTTCAGTGCCCACCACCTGGAGAGTCCTCCCTAGGAGGGTGGAGCTCAGGGGGACTCCCGAGGATAGTCTCAGGGTGACAGCAAGGCCTATGAGAGCACTGTGGGCCCAGATAAGGGAGGGTCCTGTGGCAGAGCTGAGTTCAACTGGAGGAGGCAGAAGTAGGTTTTGACCTAGGTGAGCAGGGAAGCAAAGTGTGTGTCATAGCTGTTTCCACCCTTGTGCCAAGGACCAGGCTGTGGCCCTGGTATGCAGGGACGGGGCTGCTGCATTGCTGCAGCTCCAGGGCCAGGCAGGGGGCTAAGCAAGGAGGCAGCACTCAGTGGATGAATGAGGCTCTCCTGGGTGCACTCAAAGCCAGACCTTGGGCAGGTCTCAGGACTGTCGGCCACCTGTCAGGTTTGGCACCCCAGGATACCTCAGGATGTGTGTCAGGCAAGTCCCACGCATCCCTAGTGGTCAGAGGATGTGTGGAGACCCACAGCAGGCACCTGGGCAGGCCTGTGTCCTTCTTCACTCACCCCTAACTGCTTAGAGGCTTTTAAATGTTTCCAAAAGCATCAACTCTCACTCACAGGGGGACCTTCCCACTCTCAACAATATCACCCTCTCCACCTTCAGTGCCTCTATCCACAGGGCAGAGGCCACCATGTCCCCAGCTAACCTTTGTGACGCCTCCTCAGACCAAGGCCCTGGGCACACAAAGCAGGATTGGGATAAAATGAGTCTACCCAGCTGCGGTGGGCGCGGGTTCCAAGGAAGGCCTATCCTAAAGGATAGGAGGTTGGGCTCACCTTCACCTTGGTGGGGTAAGCAGCAACCCTTGATCAGGGCTTCAAGAAGAGGGTGGTCATAGGGTCTGGGCTTACTGGACCAACTGTGATTTCCAATACTCTTCCCCAGTCTCAGGCCACATTTGACTGAGGTAGGAAAATGTGGCTGCTGTGGGTTTAGTAAGACCCCAGAGAGCCAGGAAGGGCTGTGTGCTCCCGGGCGGCCATACATGGAGGAGTCAGCGCTGCTCTCCAGCGCCCCCTGCCCAGCTGTCACTCACAGCAGCCTTCGGGACTGGGAATGGATCACAGGCCTACACAGCGCTGTGTGGCACACAGCTCTTCCAACCCTTTCAACAACCCAGGGGGTGAAGAGAGGGATACCTACTTTTAGAGGGGTTAAATAGCTCACCCCAAGCCGTGTGGCTGCGAAATGACACTCAGGATTTGAATTCAAGCCTGTCTGCCTGCAGAGCCTGCTGCTACCTCATTTCACCCTGCTGCCTGGGTGCCAGACACAGGGGCCCAGATGAGGGCCACTGGACCCCACCCAGGACTCAGAGTTCTGCCCAGCACCCTCACTTCTCTGCCTGCACCCTCCCTGCACTGAAGCTACCGCCTGTGGTCTATGTGCTGGTTGAGCACAGATTGTGTCCAGAATAATTAGGGGAGGTCTGGCCCAAACTCCTCATTTTACAGTAAGAAAAGCTGGGGGGTGAGCAGGAAGGTGGAGGAGGGGCAGGTGACCCGTCCAAGGTCAAAGGTAGGTAGGAATCTGGGACTGGAGCCACTGGGGTGCTTTGTCCAGTGCAGTGTGAGCACTTGTACGGAGAGTGAGCTACCCAGAGTCCTTTTTATAACCGGACAGAATATAAATAAATTAAACAAACTGCTGAGTTAAAAGTTTGATGTATATTATTCTTC